GCTCATGCTTTTTGTCTTAGAGGAATATGCAGTTTTAAAAATGCGTACGCCGAGGCCTGGCTGGGGGGGGGGGAATTCACAAACAGTTTTTTAGGGCTTTCTGGGGTAACCCTAACTGTACCCCTTCATTCCATACCTCTCAAATTTGGACAGCCTTTTTCTTTAAAAAGGCTCGTCCCAGGAAGGCACAGGCTGATATTCTCGGGTCAGAGCTATAATCTGGGGGCGAAGCATGCGTGAAATCATATTGCATGTCATTGTATGCAAGCTTTGCAGCAAGCAAGGTACAGAAAAGCAAAAAATTAGCAAAATGAAAAGTGGGCCTAGCAGCAGCAAAAACAGGCCTTTTACCCATCCTAAGTTTGGCAACCAGTCAAGCCATGACATGTCCCATCCCTCCCAGGTTTGGGTAGGAATATGGGCCACTGTTTCAAGTCCTGCTGCCAAATTGCGAATGGCCTCACCATGATCAGAGATGTTAAAGCAACAGGTCCCACCTGTGAGATTTAACGCTGCACAAAAGCCGCCATGTTGCGCCAGGAGAAAGTCCAACGCTAATCGAACTGAGAGAAACGCATTGCGTGTCTCATCCAATTGCGTGGCAATTAGCCTAAGGGCTGTGGCTGTCGTGTTAGCAACAATCTCTACCACTGCCTGGAGTCTGATTACGCGGTTCAAGTTATAGATTGGCCCCCTTGCCCCAGAGATTTTCTCTCTCCGATTCCATGAGGCTGGAGCATAATGGGCCAGTATCCTTTCCGGAGGCCACTGATTTTTGCCCCAATTCTGGGAGCTGCCACCTGCAAGTGTTGCCAGGTCAGCCGAACGCCTCCTTCTAGGGGGTGCAGAGGGTATCTGGTCAGGAATCCACATGGGGGGTATTAAGTAGGCTGGAAAACAGACCCCATACCATCCTCTTGGGAGGGCATGATAGGCCTTCCTGCCACACACCCAATAAACGTCCTGACCATGGGCAGATATGGTGCCTCTCAGCAAGCGGGCCAGGCATGCAGTCAAATTGGAACCAGTAAAGGTTCCTGTTTCGGACTCAGGCATGTTAGTTGGGGCTGGGAAGGTACGATCACAGTGGGAAGTGCCCACATAGGTCTGAGAGTCACTTGCGTCATTTGATTTGTTGACACAAAGGCAGCCAGTGATCCTGTGAACCTGGAAAGGGACGGAATGATTCCATAAAGAAGAATGGTTGCCCAGAGGCTGGAAGGCAACAAGTGGAGTTGTAACCAAGGATTCATTCCAAGGCACAGGGAGGAGTGGCATTCCTCCGAGAGCATTTACAGGGGCCAGAGTGCAGACGGCACAATTGGTCCGATTTGCAGAGAACGCAACCATCTCAGCAACCTGAATCCACTTATTATATGTGTGGTGGGCCCCCCACGATTGCAGCAGTTGTCTGGTCACTGTGAGTGGTATTGGCATTTCAAAGGTCAAAGGCAGCAGAAATACCAGCACGGGGACCCACAGTCATATTTGAGCCATTGTATGCACGGGGAGGGGCTTAGGTAAGTGCTAGAGAGTGGGCTGGGGTGTAATCACGCTGAAAGAAAAGACCCACTTGACACCCTCCTCTGCAGGGGTGGCGTAAAGCAAACCAGGCCCAGGTACCTTCAATAAAATTCAGTTATGCAAAAGGAAAGAAAAGAAAATGTGAAAATGTCCTCTTTCAATCCATGCTGGATTCTGGAGCCGTGCCAAGCGTCAGCTTCCGGAGTGACGTAGGCAGGGCGGTAGTCTGGTGGGCGTCGGGTCGTCTGGTGGGCTTGGGCATCTTTGGTCCCCTCCAACAAGGCTGGAGCGATGTCTGGGCGTCTGGGTCCTCTGGTGGGCGGTGTAGATCAGGTGTCACAGATGCCAGTGACTTTAACAGCTGTAGATAAACAGGACAGCCTCTGGCCAGTTTACCTGTCAAGAGAAGAGAAAAACAAAGACGGCAGCAACTGACAGAACATAACATCTTCACATAAGGTATAGGCCTAGCAAACATTAATTCAAAAGGGTATGCTTGGCAGGAAACTTCGCAAGGGGTTAACAGTTCTGTTCCTTGGGTTAAGTTTTTGCCAGGTGAGATTTTTAAAAGTCTCATTCGTCTGCTCTAAGTTTCAGAGGTTTTAAGCCATGTTGCAAATTTCAGTTCATTTGCCAGTGTCTGTAGAAAGAATAATGCGCTCCCTGCTTCTGGCAAAGTTTCAAAATTCCTATGTTATGCTGCGGCTCCTTTTTCAGAGTAAAATTGCACCTTAAAAAGAAAAACTTGACAAAGTTCACAGAAAGCATTCACTTGCTTTTTAAGAAAGTCACTTCTTCAGGTTAGTACTTTGGGGCAGGGGGGTGGGTAACTCTTGGCCTTCTGGGTTTATGTGGCTGAACTGTAAATCCAGAAAGTGTGAGATTCAGGGTAGCTGGCTGAATGCAGCAGTGTCCTTCTTGGAATAGCTGCCAAGAGATAACGCTCTGAAGCTACCTCCAAGCGCCTGGCACAAGGGGGGGGGGAAGCTGATGTCCTGTTACTTGCATGATTTTTTTTTAAAAAACAGTCTGTTCACTTGGTTTTCTGCTGCAACAGTCTTTTTGAGCAAGAACAGAGATGAAAAAAAAATCATTTTTTGAGAAATCTTATTGTTCCCAGCCTGTGGGGGTGGGGTGTGTCGGGCATGGGGCCTGTGGGCATTCCATTTCCCAATGACTGCCTTGCCTGCAGATAGCGCACTGGCTTCTTCCCTAGGCGTCTTCTGCCCCTCCCATGGACACCCTCGCTCGCTCCAGGATTGCGTTTTTGGCTTTCTGGCTGCTGGCTGTTTGAAGACAAACCCCTAATTATTTTGGCTGGGTCCTCTTCGATTTTTCCAATTGCAAATATTGGAGCTTGTAAAAGGGACATGTTGAATGGTAAAGGTCCTTGGTGGTCTAACACCCCGATCATTTGGCTGTTCCAAAGGATCATACACTTGCCTGAGAGGGGCCACCACAGTGGGTTTGGACAAAGCCTTCGATTTAAGTGTCTCTACATGTTTTGTTGCCCTGTCCCATGCTGTTCTCAAAGCCTTCTGCTCTGTTTCTTTCTGTCTGCCAATTCACATCCTTGCATTGTGCTGCTTCTAGAACTCAAGAAGCCACATGGTTCTACATACTGGAACACTCTGTCAGACTGCTTACTAGTCCATCTTATCTCTTTATCTAGAGTTTTTCTGAAGTCTTCATCATCATCATCACCTTTCTCTTCACCTTCCTGGCTTGCATCACAAGGGGGTTGGGGAGGGGCAGAGGGGGGAATCTTCTCATTTGGGTCCTCAGTCTGGGCATTGGGCAGAGAAACAGCCCTATTTGCTCCCAGATTTGGTTGCCTTGGCGCAGTGGCTGCATATGGTGGTGGTGGTGGGGGTAATTATCTCCTCTTCTAGGACTGGCAAAACTGGTGGCTTCTTAACTTGTAATTGTACTGAACACAGTTTGACTTGGGCAGTCAAAATTCTATTTTTCCGAAGCCATGAGGGATTTTGATCCACATTGGCTTTCCAGATAGAAATATAGGGAATCTGATCTGCGTGAGCCTTGAGAATGTTACTCCATAAAATGTTGGCCAAGTTTGGATCAAAGGATCCTCCAGGAGGCCATTCTGGTAAATACAAAGTCCAGTCAACTTCACATAAATGTTGGAGTCTGCTTTTTTTGAGTTTACATCCCCACTCTTCTGCTTTCATGGCACTTTTCCAGTTTTCCAGAAAGCTCTGTAGTGGTGTCTCAAGGATTGTTTTACTTCTTTTATTTCCCATGACTCTGGGATCCTGGGGACACTGGGACACTCAGCCCTCCTAACGTTATTTTTTTTTTCACTCAGTCACAGGCCAGACGTTGCTGTCAACGTCTCACACTCTCAAAACATTCACTGGAGTGTCCCCACACGCACATTCAGAAAAACCCATGCACCTCCCCCAATCCCCCCTTCCCCCCCCAAAAAAAACCAAAACCACAACCGGCAGCGCTTAGACTTCGACCGGGGCCCAAGAGCACCTTACTGCTTCTTCTGGGCACAAAACCAAACCACAACCATACCCGGCAGCGCTTAGACTTCGACCGGGGCCCTAGCAGCACCCTTTGCTGCTTTTTCTGGGCGACACCAAAACCAGTGGCACTTCTTCTACCCTGCTGGCGGAGTTGATCAGATTCTCTTTTTGCTCGCACCTATCCTTGTGGAGCTTGCTCCCACCTATACCCTGTGGAGCTTACCTTTTTCCTCGAGGTACCTTCTTTCTGCACGGCCGTTGCTCTTTCTCTCCGTCACTTTGTCGCGTGTCCACTCAGGAACGGGTGGCCAGTCCCTCCCACGAAGTTGGCAGGATGCGCGCTGGAACTGTTGACCCGGTATCCCGAGCTGCTCGCCTTGCAGTGACGCCCTGGACCTCTTTGTCCCTCGATCTCGGGGAACGTGCTTATTCCCGGCCAATGCACCAGAAATATGTAGCCTTATTAATCCATGGGTCGGAATAATTGTTGCACCCGAGCAGAGACAAAAGGAGCCAAACAACACCAGGGGGTTAATCCAGAGAAAGAGCGTTTTATTCTGCCATCCGGGGGGGCAGAAGGCACCTGTGTGATTCAGTTCACAAAAGACAGGCCGCACCGAAAACATTTTACAAGCAGGTTTTATCCTTTTTTCAAACCCCTTTTTTTCCTCTCCCCCTTCACAGATTCTTACATAGAAATGTTGCTTTTCGTTCTCTGGCTCTGTTCCCGGAAGTATGTTGCAAGTCAATGTACCAGGACAAGGTTATTTGGATCTGGGAAGCGAAAAGCTTTTCTGTTCTCAGCTATGGGTTTGTTACAGCGTTTTTGTTACAGAGAGGACTGCTTAGCTCATGCTTTTTGTCTTAGAGGAATATGCAGTTTTAAAAATGCGTACGCCGAGGCCTGGCTGGGGGGGGGAATTCACAAACAGTTTTTTTAGGGCTTTCTGGGGTAACCCTAACTGTACCCCTTCAGTCAGAACATTAATCCATCTGGTTCAATATGATCTACACAATGACTAACAGTGGCCCTCCAAGGTTTCAGACAGGGGAGCATTCACAGCTCCGTCTGGAGATGCTGGGGACTGAACCTGGGACTTTCTGCACTCAAAGCACATGGTTTCCCCACAGAGCAACATCTCTCTTCCAGTTGCTAAAAACACAGGTAGCATTTCTCCACTCCCTGGGCAGAGCTTGTCTGGGCAGGAACCTGGGACTTCCTGCACCCTAAGCAAAAATAATACACGTAGGCCAAAAAGCAGGAATGGGGCCAACTAGGGGGTGATGGAAAGAAAAAGGTGGGATGGAGGCATGGGGGGAGGGGACACATTTTGTGGTGGCAACTGGGCACGGAATCAGAGCACCATACCACAATAGGTGTAAATTTGGGGCAACGTGGTGATCAATGCATTCCAAAATCTGCATCTTTAGTCACCAACAAATCCTGGAATTCCAATACTGTACGAATATTTCTCACGAAGTTCATTTTCTTCCCCTTTTGTATATTACTAATTAAGCACCTGAGATTCTCTAGAACCCGTGGCGGGCTTGTGATCCATTTGTAACATACAGAAACTGCTGTGCCACGCCCGGCGAGTCTCCACAAGCCTCCTTCATGTAGCCTTCATGCCCACGTCTTGTATGCTCAGGGGAAGTGCCTTCCCCAGGCTGTGGTCAAACGCGTCCATATTGTCCTCAACCTCTTCCGCAATCTGCGTCCCGCTCTCCTTTTTCAAGGGGCTTTCCTCCTTCGACAGGGGAAGGTCTTCTGCCAAAGCGCAGTCTCTGGAACTGGAGGCACCCGAAGCATTCAGCAACTGGAACGGCAAGCTGTGGTCCGAAGTGTTACAGATGCTGACGGTGCAACTGACATTGACGTGTGTTCCTCCACTGCCGGATTGCTCTGTTATTAAAAAAGAAGAAGGGAAAACCAATTTATAGCCGGTACTTTATTCCACGATAGCTCTTTTTTGTGCATCCTGGTGCTCCACTCTGTTGGAGGGGCTGCCATGTGGTTGGTACATATAAGCACACATGGTGGGAATGAAATTTGGTGGCTGAAAGGTGGCTGAATTTTGGAAGAAGGTGTTTGCTGAAATCGCTCTGATACCTGCACAAACAATTACTCCATCTTTCCACCTGGTGCTTTTGAGCCTGTACGTAGAAACAGAACTTGTATCACCTCTCGTAACAGCAGCCCAGGGTTATACTGCATTGCCAAATCCTAATAATTTGGATTTGGAAAAACTTCTGTGTTCTGTTTATAATATGGTTTGGGGAGGGGGATCTATCTTGTTAATAATTTGGATTGCTGGTGTTCTAGGGTTTAACAAATTACCTTTATTGAACAGATAGCTCACAGACTAAAAGTGTCTAAAGGGCAGAGCTTGAATTACCATTTTTAATATATACAACATAATTTTGTTTCTTATACAAATATTGAGGCACATGGTGGTTACTCAGTGCCAGCAATACATACAAAAGTCTGGTTTGTTTAAAACTATATAGAACCTTTATTCTCAATAATGATAGAACTCACAGGGGGAGAACACTTTTATTTTTCTATACAGTGGTACCTCTGGTTACGAACTTAATTCGTTCCAGAGGTACGTTCTTAACCTGAAACCGTTCTTAACCTGAGGTACCACTTTAGCTAATGGGGCCTCCCGCTGCCACCGCGCTACCGGTGCGCAATTTCTGTTCTCATCCTGAGGTAAAGTTCTTAACCTGAGGTACTACTTCTGGGTTAGCGGAGTCTGTAACCCAAGGTGTTTGTAACCTGAGGTACCACTGTATCTTTATTATTTGTAAGGAGGACACTCTATTGTCCCTTTGGAGCTGCACTGGACCTGTGCACTTTTGTCCTTCCGTGCCGTGACACTTTCTGCTTTATATTTTTGACTCTTTGTTTTCTTTCTTGCTATATTTGCACTTTTCTTTTGTAACTGATCAATATACCTATTTAAACCACACTATTATTGGACAACTGATAAATGGAATAAATGAGTACAAGTAGCATGCTCAGGGGAGTTCCTTACTTGAGTTTGCACTGCTGTGATGCACGCAGGTATTTGATGGAGAAGATCTTTGTTGAGTCCTCTCTGTGTCGGTGCTTAAAGTGCCCTCGCTGCTGACCCCGCTGCTTTTCTCAGAGGCTGGTGGGCTATCTAAAGACCCGCTGCTTGAGGCGGAGACCTGAAGGAGATTCTGCTCCTCCTGCTGCAGAGCGTTGGTGTCCTGATGCCAGTTGGTGGGTGCTTTTTCGGGACATGAAAACGACTAGAAAGCAATGAAGGACAGAGGTGTCAGAGACACACCGACTTTGTGTTCAAGTAATTGACCATCAGCAGGTGCCCCTGACTGAGTTTTCATTTTAAAGAAGTCCTCCTAAACAGAAAGTTATGAGGCAAAATGTGCAAGTACCTTTCAAACAATTTATGTGAATTGAGAGTGGTCGTGATGTAGCCACCTTGTGTTTTTAGTCCTGTTATGTTTAGCCGGCACCAGTATGTGAGAGAGATCAATATTTTCAATGAAACAAGAAGCTTGAATTATTCCGGAATAAAGTCTCTGCGTAAAAGGGTTGGGGGTGGTTGTCTCTCTGATTTTACGTTATGCCATGATCCCTAATGGCGGCCTTTTTGTGTTATGCCCCGCCACACCATGACAGCCATTTTGCAGCTGGCACCTCCAACACACACACAACATTTGAAATGTGCCCACTGGTTCAAAAAGGTTGGCGACCCTCCAGTGCAGAGTGGAGGAGTTGTAATTATCTATATTCACCTTTGCCTGAGTATTATCACTGAATACTCTAACCCAAACTGCAGGCCACAGTTAATATTTAGCTGAGGGCTGATGACCAGACAGTCATTGCAGAAGCTAGAGTGCATTTCACAGGGCCAGGCATCAGAAGCTGGCATTCTTGGTCAGGTGCTGAGAGATCCACACCCCAGCGGGGGGATGATGGGATATATTTTGATTTGAAGGGCCAAGAGGTTGGGAGAAAGCTGACTTGGACCATACTGAGCTATATGGACCAAGTGCTTTTATTCAGAGTGGACCCATTGACATTAATAGAAGTAGATCCACAGGTGCAAGGACGTTGGGATACCCAATGGAGTTTACCCTCCATCTCGCTATGTGCCTCCCTCAATCTGTTATGGGGATTCCCCCCAACTCACCAGAGCAGATTTGGGGACTGCAAAGGGAAGGAGAAGGCAAGTTTTGTTGGGCAAGCAAAAATCCCCTTGCTTGCAAATCTATTTCACTGCATATGGTCCAACAGACCAAAGTTAGTCATCTCCATTAGTTCAATGGGCGTACTCTGAAAAGAACCAATGTTTGACACAACCCTAACGGTCTGACTTTGTATAAGGTAGCTTCCTATAACCTCCACTCCCTTCTTATTTTTATTTTAGTTTGTTGTTGTGGAGGAAGGGAAAGGAGATTGTTAGCCGCTTTGAGACTCCTTAAGGGGAGTGAAAGGCGGGATATCAAGTCCAAACTCTTCTTCTTCTTATTATTATTATTAAGAATTTGCCTCAGGAAGGTTTTGATAGTGCTCCAAGGCATTACGGGATATTAAAATGGTTCTATATGAGAAACAGAGGGACGCAGGTGGCGCTGTGGGTAAAAGCCTCAGTGCCTAGGGCTTGCCGATTGAAAGGTTGGCAGTTCGAATCCCCGTGGCGGGGTGCGCTCCCGCTGCTCGGTCCCAGCGCCTGCCAACCTAGCAGTTCGAAAGCACCCCCGGGTGCAAGTAGATAAATAGGGACCGCTTTATAGCGGGAAGGTAAACAGCGTTTCCGTGTGCGGCGCTGGCTCGCCAGATGCAGCTTTGTCACGCTGGCCACGTGACCCGGAAGTGTCTCCGGACAGCGCTGGCCCCCGGCCTCTTGAGTGAGATGGGCGCACAACCCTAGAGTCTGTCAAGACTGGCCCGTACGGGCAGGGGTACCTTTACCTTTATATGAGAAACACCATGTAAGGCCTTATGGGTAATTAAAATGGAGGATGCCTCATGGACTCTGTGACCTGGTGCAGTGGAGATTTGCAGAGGCGCACTGGGGCTGCCCACAGATGCTGTCTGTGGCACACAGGGAGGAGCGTCGATGCTTGGTATAGTTGGAGATGAAAATACAAGATTATAGAGAGGTTGTCACTCACCTGTTTTTCCTTGGCAAAAGGCAGTACATAAAGGTGGCCTGCCAAAGAGAAAAATCACAAATTAGAAATTAACCTCCCTTCATGCAAAACTAGTTCCTGCAAAAGCCCACAGAGGGATGGATGAATTGTCAATTTCAGTTTCTCTCAGCTTCTCATTTCTTCCCATCTTTTAGCTATAAACCAGGATAAGGACAGGGAACTAGATCCATCTTTCCTCAACCCCTGTGGGCAACTTTGACAGTTGGGCTGGGGCTGCCCACCTGACAATCACCTGATGCCACAATACTTAGCAAGCACCGCTATGGTCACTGGTGGGGAGCTGACAAGCAGAGATCTGTACATTGGAAGATGCCCCAAAGGTGTAGCTCTTGAGACACAATTATCAGAATACTTCAACTACCTATGCCAATTAGCATTGCATGTGCCTAGAAAGAGTTATAGGAATGGCCAGTTCATATCATTTAGAAAAACTAACCTATTGGACCCATTCTCGGTAACCAAATTGTACATAGTAATTCTCCCATAACTGCTGAAGGAGGCCAATTGGGTCTAAAAGCCTTTGACTAAATTTGTTGCTATTCATTGGTCCTGTAAGTATTTTGATCAGTCTCAGACATAAACAGAACAGGTTAAGTTGTCGTTGTGTTATCATAGTGATTTTCTCCGTTTCGACTGCATGTTTATGTTTCCACATTGTGTTAAAGTTGTATTTTATTTTCTTATAATATTTAGAAACATTTTTTTTCCTGTTCCTACCCAACTTAAATCTTTGAGTCTTGGTTTATATCGTGGGGATGGAGCATCCTTTTATTATGTTGCACAGTTACTAAGAGAACATCTGTTCTTATCCATTGGGCTGCCTGGTTTTCTGTGCTCCAAATTCCAAGAATCTGGAGCTGTCCAGCAACATCCGTTGTCATTTATTGGAAGCTGGTGTGTTCACTGCCGCTGGGAGCATAGTCAAGATGCCAATCTCATTCTTTTCTCTCATTTCTGGCTAAGAGCTCTTGCAAGATATAATACTGTCCCCTCCAGAAAGTTGGGAAAGAGAGAAAGCTGGGGCAGCAGGCAGCCAGAGTATTCTGAAGCTATGTAAGTAAACTCTGGTAAGATCACTGAGACATAGGATTGTACAGGTACTTCTGGGGTGGCGCCATTGGCAATGGCGGATTCCCTCTGATCCGGAGGGACTGGCTCCACGGAAAACGGGTCTGTTCCGCTACGGCGAAGCGGGGACCCTTTAAAAAATCACAGGCGGATGAAGCCTGTGACCATGGGACTCGGCGGGCACCTTTCGCGCCCCCCCAATCCGTAAAGGAACCCAATTACGGGTTCCGGAGCGAAGCGGGGCGAGTGGCGCGGTGCTGAGAGTCAACTGCTTCTTCCGTGGAGCGAAGCCGCACAGCCGTTGCCGGAGAGCGCTACCTTTTTCCTGGGACAATTTGGCTACAAAAACAACTACCCGTGGGTAGATTAAATTTGGACAATTGGACTTTAAACAACGACCAGTGAGTAGAACGGAAAATTGGATTGAGAAATTCTTCTTAAATTGGCACTGAAACGGGAAGGTCTAAACAGGAAGTCAGCCTTCCGTTTCTTGTAGATGGATTAAAGCAAAAACATGGTAAACTAGAGTTAAAAAAATTGTTCGCAAAGGATCAACTTTCATCATTTAAAAGTACTGAACCCCCTTCAGAAGCAGGAGAAGAGGGGGGATTTTTTCTGGATTGTTTAAACCTGCAGAAGAGAGTGTAAAGAAAAGTAATTCTCCACCGTCTTGAACCTGGGAGCGAGGTGTCAGGACAGAAGCTTTTGGGAAGTTCATTGACTACAGACAAATGTTTTTGACAGACAGTCAAAAGAAGAGAAACATAGTGATTCCATTGTTCTCCTTCGCATTTTAAAGGAACAAATATTGACAAAATATCTGAAAAAGGAAACTTTGTTGCTTGATCTGCTTTTGAAAAAAAGAAAAGAAAAGAGATGGATACAAATAGAAGTTTTTCCCCTAGAGGGAGCTTGTGAAACTGTTATTGAATTTGAACTGGGGAGCTTTGCAGCTGCAAATAGATTAAGACCGTGGGAACAGACTTCTGACCTTGCATAACAATGTACTCAGAGGCTCTGGTGCGTGCTTTCTGCAAGACAAGTGCTTTACTGGAACAGTTACATGAGAAGACGGATTTGATGACTGTTGCGATTAGAAATTTTGGACAGGCAGTGGGTATCTATATACCGTATTTTTCCCTCTATAACACGCAGATTTTTTCTCCTAAAAAGGAAGGGGAAATGTCTGTGCGTGTTATAGAGCGAATGTGTGGTCCCTGGAGCCGAAAAATCAGGCAAAAATCAAATCGCGCTTCATGGAGAAGGGAAACCTGAAAAGAGGAAGCGGCTGCTTTCCTGCATTCTGCCTCAGGGTCTTACTGCCCACCCTCCTCTGTTTCGTTGCTGTGTTTGCTGAAACGGAACAAAGAGCAGGGAAAGCCCCTCCCCTCCAGGCAAGCAGAGGGGAAAGCAGTGTGTAGTTCCTTCTAATTCCTCTCTGTGCTCCGGTGCTGCTGGGGGAGAGGGAGAGAGAGGGGGGAGGGAGAGAGAGGGAGGGGAGAGAGGGGGAGGGGAGAGAGAGAGAGAGATATGGCTGGCTTGGGTGGGGGGAAACTTTTGCCTTTCTTTCCTCCCTCCCGTTAAATCCCTCTCCTGCATTCTTAGCCAGCTGCTTCTCTGCACACCCCTCTCATGTCCCTTCTTTGTTTTTCCTTCGCTCCCCACTTAAAATGTGGTTACAAAGCATAGATTCACATGGATCCTCAGGATCTTTGCATTGGGTCACCCCAAATTCACCATCAGATCACATAGCATGTCCATGGCTACAGCCTGCCCCCCAAAAATCACGCACCCACTGTTGCCTGGGGCTGCAATGGTGCAAAAACGTGGTTAAAAAGCATGGATCCATATGGATCCTCAGGATCTTTGCATTGGGTCACCCCAAATTCACCATCAGATCACATAGCATGTCCATGGCTACAGCCTGCACCAAAAAAATCACGCACCCACTGTTGCCTGGGGCTGCAATGGTGCAAAAACGTGGTTAAAAAGCATGGATCCACATGGATCCTCAGGATCTTTGCATTGGGTCACCCCAAATTCACCATCAGATCACATAGCATGTCCATGGCTACAGCCTGCACCAAAAAAATCACGCACCCACTGTTGCCTGGGGCTGCAATGGTGCAAAAATGTGGTTACAAAGCATGGATCCACAGGGATTCTCAGGTACTTTGCATTGGGTCACCCCAAATTCACCATCAGATCACATAGCATGTCCATGGCTACAGCCTGCACCAAAAAAATCATGCACCCACTGTTGCCTGGGGCTGCAATGGTGCAAAAACGTGGTTACAAAGCATGGATCCACAGGAATTCTCAGGATTTTTGCATTGGGTCACCCCAAATTCACCATCAGATCACATGTCTGTGGCCACAGCATGAAGCACAAAAATGATACACCCACTGTTTCATTCAGAATGTTTTTTCCCTTGTTTTCCTCCTCTAAAAACGATGTGCGTGTTATGGTCAGGTGCGTGTTATAGAGCGAAAAATACGGTAGAACCCACCCAGGAACCAACTTGTGTTCTGACAGATCAGATGAAGGAGGAGGTTGTTGTTGGACTTCGGGTGGCAGAGATGGAGGGAGATGTGGCCCAGCAGGAACATGAGTTGCTGGATCTGACAAATGAACTTGGAAAAAGCCAGCTTTGGAGAGATAGAGTTGTATTTGGCTTGGAGATGGGGGGCTGGATAGACCCCCCCTATGCAGGGATGTTTTGACTTTTCAAGTCTGGCAATGGGCTGTGAGGAGTTTGGGGATGTGGGGGTCCTCAACTCTGGAGGGGGTTTGAAGCATGTCTTTAAAAATCACATGGAGTTCAGTGTGGACTATGGAAAAGGGGCTGATCTGTCGAGAAGGGACAAAAATATTGTTAAGTTGGAGTTTCCACGAGTGAAAGGAGCAGGAAACAAAGTAAAGTACAGTTATAAATATGAAGAAGATTTGCGGAAGGGACATGGAAGGGCCTCGGACATAAGATTACCAGGTTAATGAACTAGATGGATGGGATAGAAAGGACTGACTAAACCCGGGACCAGGAGGAAGAGACGTTGGATGAAGATTGGAAGAAAGTTTTTTAAAAAAATTATTTAGGATTGTTCTGAAAAATTAATGAATATTAGAAAAATGTTGGAACGAAATTATTTGGCTTTAGCAGAAATGTTAAAAAGAACTTTGCAAGAATATGCTATGGTTAGGAGAAATTGGTATAAATAAGATTTAAGTTTTAAATTTTAGGGTATTTTATGTAATATAGGTCAAAATCGATCAAGGTAATTTAATGACAGGATATTATGAAAAATGGAAAGGATTTGCTGTTATAATTAAGAACTAGAATACAAAAAAGGGAGGTGTGAGGAGGTCGATGAAACAAGATCATGACAGTTAAGGATTTGGGAATATTGGATTTGTTTTTAAATTTTTGTGGTTTATTCTTGTTTTTTGATTTTGATGTGTTATGTGTTTTGTCTTTGTCTTTGTTTTTTGATTTTGATTTTTATCGATTTGTATTGTTTGACTGCTGTTTGCCTTTCTATTGTTTTTTTTTCTTTCTTCCTTCTTTTTCTCTCTATTTCTTTGTAATCTTAAAATTCTTAATAAATATCATTAAAAAAAAAGAGAGAGACATAGGATTGTACAGTTGGAAGGTACCCCAACGATCGTCTAGTCCAGCCACTTGCAATGCAGTAATAGGACAGAAGGGACGCGGGTGGCGCTGTGGGTAAAAGCCTCAGCGCCTAGGGCTTGCCGATCGAAAGGTCGGTGGTTCGAATCCCCGCGGCAGGGTGCGCTCCCGTTGCTCGGTCCCAGCGCCTGCCAACCTAGCAGTTCGAAAGCACTCTCGAGTGCAAGTAGATAAATAGGGACCGCTTACCAGCGGGAAGGTAAACGGTGTTTCCGTGTGCTGCGCTGGCTCGCCAGAGCAGCTTTGTCACGCTGGCCACGTGACCCGGAAGTGTCTCCGGACAGCGCTGGCCCCCGGCCTCTTGAGTGAGATGGGCGCACAACCCCAGAGTCTGGCAAGACTGGCCCGTACGGGCAGGGGTACCTTTACCTTTACCTTTAATAGGACAGAAGAGTCTAGGGTTGCCATGCCTAGTGGAAAGCCAGCAACAGAGAGGAATGGAAACACAGGCAGGAGAGAACACTGTACTAGGGGTATAAAGAGCTGAACTGTATAATGGAAGACAGGAGAGAACCCGCTGTATACAAAACAAAACAAACAAAATGGGGGTTTATAATGCCAACAAAGGTCCGTATAGTTAAAGCCATGGTTTTCCCAGTAGTGATGTATGGAAGTGAGAGCTGGACCATAAAGAAGGCTGATCGCCGAAGAATTGATGCTTTTGAATTATGGTGCTGGAGGAGACTCTTGAGAGTCCCATGGACTGCAAGAAGATCCAACCTATCCATTCTGAAGGAAATCAGCCCTGATTGCTCACTGGAAGGAGAGGTCGTGAAGCTGAGGCTCCAATACTTTGGCCACCTCATGAGAAGAGAAGACTCCCTGGAAAAGACCCTGATGTTGGGAAAGATGGAGGGCACAAGGAGAAGGGGACGACAGAGGACGAGATGGTTGGACAGTGTTCTCGAAGCTACCAACATGAGTTTGACCAAACTGCGGGAGGCAGTGGAAGACAGGAGTGCTTGGCGTGCTCTGGTCCATGAGGTCACGAAGAGTCGGACATGACTAAACGACTAAACAACAACAACATAATGAAAGAGAGGACAATGGAGGACTTTGAATATGTTCCCCACCAGGGGGAGCTCTGAGTGCAAGACACCACTAGGGGTTCTGAGGCTCTCTTAGTCAGGGATGCAGCAGCCATGATGTGGTTTAGTTATTTCTTCAGCAATTCTTCACACGTCTCACCTTTTTTCCTCAGAACAAAGCAGGCACAAGTCCCTCCGATCAGTGCAAATATGGCACACGCCACTCCGGCCACCAAACCTGGGAAGACAAACGACGACAGTGCTAGGAACCCCAATGCAAAACCCAGAAAAACACAACTTCCAACACTTCCAATTTCCGTCTGGAAAACACTAGGGTTTTAAGATGTCACATTTCTGGAAACTTTGAAGTGTACTGGGTGAGGGGGGGGAGTCAGTTTCAAAAATGTAAATGATGGGAAAAATCGAATTTTATGCCACCTTATCAAACCTAGACTGGACTTCAAGAAGAAGGGTCTAAATCTGAGTCCTCAAAATTAGCCAAGGTGAAATGTCCTTTTTTTTTTTTGGTCGTTCTGTTGTGGATGACATGTAATAATAATAATAATAATAGTGGTAGTAGTAGCAACCCTTAACGTTGTTTTTTTACTGCACTTCTAAGTGCTCAAAGCACCCAACATGTGTTATCTAGCTGTGATCTTTTATTTGTTTATTTCCTATCCGGTCTTCCCATGGCAGGTTTACAGCAATACAGTTATAAAAGCAGTTAGGCAATCAAACGGTTGTGAAACAAAGTACAACAGTCCCAACCAAAACAAGAGCAGGGGTTCTGGATTTCGCCAAAAGTGATGGGTCCCCGAAACAAAACACCTTAACAGTGAAAGAGCAGAGCGAAGAACACATGGCAGAAGCCGGATGCACCTCTGAAGGGAAGGAGTTCTGCCTTTAGGGGCTGCCACAGAGAAGGCCCCCATCCTGGGCTACCTTTCCCCACATTACTGACCATGGCAGCACTACCAAGAGAGCCCCCTCTGCAGATCTTAACACCCAAGAAGACCCTTAGGGATCGAGGCAGAAGTCCTACAAGGCAAAGTTTTCAAACTTGTTCTTTTCTTCATGGGCCATTTGAAAATTGATGAGGGCCTTGACAGACCGTATACAGTGGTGCCTTGCAAGACGAAAAGAATCCGTTCCGCGAGTCTCTTCGTCTTGCGGTTTTTTCGTCTTGCAAAGCAAGCCCATTAGCGGCTTAGCGGATTAGTGCTATTAGCGGCTTAGCGGGCTTAGCAGATCAGCTGATAAGCGGCTTAGCGGATCAGCTGATAAGCGGCTTAGTGGGTCAGCTGATTAGCGGCTTAGCGATCAGCTGTTTAGCGGCTTAGCGGATCAGCTGTTTAGCGGCTTAGCGGATCAGCTGATAAGCGGCTTAGCGGATCAGCTGATAAGCGGCTTAGCGGATCAGCTGATAAGTGGCTTAGCGGATCAGCTGATAAGCGGCTTAGCGGATCAGCTGATAAGCGGCTTAGCGATCAGCTGTTAAGCGGCTTAGAGGCTTAGTGGATCAGCTGATAAGCGGCTTAGCGGCTTGGGGAAAGGGGGGGGAGGAAAAAAAACCTGCAGGAACTCGCAAGACATTTTCGTCTTGCGAAGCAAGCCCATAGGAAATTCATTTTGCGAAGCGCCTCCAAAGCGGAAAACCCTTTTGTCTAGCGGGTTTTCCGTCTTGCAAGGCATTCGTCTTGCGGGGCACCACTGTAATGTTATTTTTCTGCCCCATGTAGCAATTGTAATGTGTTGTGCTGTAGTCTTTCCTTATTTTTATTAATTTGCTTCCTCCTGCTAATCCTTCCCATGGAAGGATCCAAGGGGTCATCTAGCCCAACCCTCAGCAATGCAGGAGTCACAGCTTTAGAATCCCTGACAGATGACCCTCCAAACTCTGCTTAAAAATCTCCAACGAAGGAGAACCCACCACCTTCCTAGGTAGTCTGTTGTTACATAGAAACATAGAATTGTAGAGTCATAAAGGGCCCTGAGGCTCATCTAGTCCAACCCCCTGCGACGCAGGAATATGCAGCTGACCCATGCAGGGATCGAACCTGCAACCTTGGCGCTATCAGCCAGCTGAGCTATCCAGGCTCCTGTGTTGTTTGAGATGCATTCCTTTGATGCAAGCTGCTTTGAGCATGATTTTCTTTGTGGGGGAAAAACTATGAACGAACTACAAACGAACGAGTCCATCCCGACCCCTGCCTGGAAATGGCGAGTACTGAACCTGAGACCTGGCACTGTGGCGCTGTGTCCCCTCTCTAAAAGAGGAACGTGAGCCCAGCTCACTCTGTACACTGTAAAGGTAAAGGTACCCCTGACCATTAGGTCCAGTCGTGACCGACTCTGGGGTTGCGCGCTCATCTCGCTCTATAGGCCGAGGGAGCTGGCGTTTGTCCACAAACAGCTTCCGGGTCATGTGGCCAGCATGACAAGGCCGCTTCTGGCGAACCAGAGCAGCACACAGAAACACCGTTTACCTTCCCGCCGGAGCGGTACCTATTTATCTACTTGCACTTCGTGCTTTCGAACTGCTAGGTCGGCAGGAGCGGGGACCGAGCAACGGGAGCTCACTCCGTAGCAGGGATTCAAACCGCTGACCTTCGGATCGGCAAGTCCTAGGCTCTGTGGTTTAACCCACAGCGCCACCCGCGTCCCACACTGCCTAGAAGTTAAGTTAATTCCCCCGCCCCCCACAATGCTCACCAGCAATTTGAGACATGTCTGCCGGAGGCTGTTGCAGAACCGGCTTCCCTGTCGGACTCCTGGTGACCAAACGACTCTTTGCAGTGACTGTGGTGCGCAGAGGAGTTGCCACGGTGCCAACGGGTGCACCGAGATCGCTGCAAACTGCATCATGGGTGCTGTTTCCGGGAGTGATTTCTGATTCACAACTGCGAGGAGCCAAAAAAAATGGGAGAAGGAAAGTGAAAAATCCAGCAAGAACCAGGAAAGTGTACGCTTATGACAGTTAAACCAATCATAGAATTGCAGAATTGCAGAGAAGAATGGCAAACTAAGCTGCTGGATTATGCCGAAATGGCAAAACTGACCGGAAAGCCCAGGAACCAAGAGGACCAAAACTTTAATAAAGAATGGGAAAAATTTATAATTTACTTGAGAGACCACTGTAAGGAAATGAAAACATTAGCAGGATTCCAATAACACTTGCAATGTAGAAAATACTATGGACAAAATGGAGAGACATAAAATTTGGGTGATGAAATAATATGCAGTTGATAATATTTTTTGATAATAGGACACATGGATGGGAAGGTGGGAAGTCTAGAGATTCGGAGAAATCTCTAAACATGGATTTGTATTTTGTATTGTTATAATTCTACACTTCTAAAATCAAATAAAAATTATTTCCGGGGGGGGGGGGGGAAGAATTGTAGAATTGGAAGGCACCCAAAGGATCATCTTATCCAATCCTCTGGAACCACAGCTAATATTTTAAAAATAATACTAAACTTTAAGGCAGCAACTAGTGAGGACTAAGGTCACTGGTACAGCAGCTGTTTTGCATGCAGAACATCCCAGGACCCGGTCTTCCCAAACCTGGAATTATTATGATTAAAATCTGTGTATCGCCCTTCATCCAGGGATCACTGGGCAGTTCACAACATAAAAACACAAAACGAGAACTCAAAATACATTTTTAAAAAGCTATAAACAAACACATTAAAAAAGACCATGTAATGTTTCATCAGCCAAAGGCTTGGTTATAGAGGAATGTGTTTGTGTGTGTGTGTTCTTAAAGATCACTTGGGTTTTGCATTGCCAGTAATTAAGGTCCAAGAAGGGTCTGTGTACTCCATCACCACGAAAACCCGCTTCAACTTTAAAGGAAGAAGCAGGACTGCTAGCATCCTTTGCAAGGCTGCCACCTGTGTATCTGCATATTTGGTGGAGAGATGGGGCAACTTACATCCTGTGAGGCCTGCAGGAGGCGCTGTGGGACTCCACATCTGAAAATGTGCCTGGACCGCAGGGCACACATTCCACATCCCTATTTTCTGTGCCTACAAACAAACAAACAAACAAACAAACAGGCATTTTCAAAGAGTTCTGGTTAGTCACATCCATGGAAACATGAGAGCGGAAAATGGCTCAGAATCTGAGACCCAGATGCTTTGAAGTTGACCTCCCAAAGGAACCATAGTTCCCAGGTCCCCAGCTCTCTTTTTAAACAGAGATAGAGAGAGTGTGTGTTTCTTTTATATATATAGGATTTTTATTAAATTTTCTGTTTTACAATTTAAAGTACCATATTTTTTGCTCTATAAGACTCACTTTTTCCCTCCTAAAAAGTAAGGGGAAATGTGTGTGCGTCTTATGGAGCGAATGCAGGCTGCGCAGCTATCCCAGAAGCCAGAACAGCAAGAGGGATTGCTGCTTTCACTGTGCAGCGATCCCTCTTGCTGTTCTGGCTTCTGAGATTCAGAATATTTTTTTTCTTGTTTTCCTTGTCAAAAAACTAGGTGTGTCTTGTGGTCTGGTGCGTCTTATAGAGCGAAAAATACAGTACTCATTTTTACATCCTTAAGATATCAATGACTTCCCTTCTTCTCTTTATACGGTTCATTTTGCATATCATAAATCCCTGCATATTTTACAAAAAACTATACCATTCAGAATTCCATTATTATGTCCATCAAAACTTATTTACACTGTTGAACTTATCTTAATGCTGCCAGAGTTTTCAGCTCTACACAATTATTTCCCATATATTCAACAGAGAGAGTTTTTAGCATTTGTAGAAGTTGATACATGAGATAAAGGCCACACTCACAGCCATATATTTGAAGATTTACTACACTTGATCTTAGCCAAAAGGCCGAGAAGCGATGTCCATAGCGGTCAACTTTTTCCTTTTCTTGTGAGGAATCCTATTCGGAATAAGGGAATTTCCCTTTAAAAAAGGGAAACGTTGACAGCTATGCTACTGTCATGGCTTCCCCCAAAGAATTCTGGGAGCTGTAGTTTGTTGAGGGTTCTGAGAGTTGTTAGGACACCCCCCCCCAATTCCCCTTCCAGAGTAGTTTAACAATCAATCACTCTTCATAGGGAATCTGGGGAGTTGCAGCTCTGTGTGAGAAATCTCCGAATAACTCTCAGCACACTTAACAAACTACAGGCACCCAGAATTTGTGGTAGGGGGCGGAGGGAGGAAGCCACGACGGTTTAAAGATGATGGCCCATGTTTGGATATTTGACGGGTGCAACTTAGATGATGGAGCAAATGAGTCTTCCGTCGCTCCAGAGGGCAGCACCCATGGCAGTTCAAAGTATAAGAAAGGAAACTTTGACAAAACAGTAGGAAGAGCTTCCAGGCGACATGGACTGTCTTACAGGGGAACAGACCCCGCCTCAGAAGTGATGGTCTCTCCTTAGATGTTCTAGAGCCTGGGATAAGCGCAGGAAAGTGGGGAGCAGGCTAATTTCTCACCTAAAATAAAGCAATGAGAGGAATAGCACCTGTACATTTCAGGTGGTCCCCTGTGTCAGCTGTACTCAGAGCAGACCAGTTGAAATAAACAGATCTGATGAACTTAATTGATTTCAGTGGGACGCGGATGGCGCTGTGGGTTAAACCACAGAGCCTAGGACTTGCCGATCAGAAGGTCGGCGGTTCGAATCCCTGAGACGGGGTGAGCTCCCGTTGCTCTGTCCCTGCTCCTGCCAACCTAGCAGTTCAAAGCACGTCAAAGTGCAAGTAGATAAATAGGTACCACCCCGGCGGGAAGGTAAACAGCGTTTCCATGCGCTGCTCTGGTTTGCCAGAAGCAGCTTAGTCATGCTGGCCACATGACCCGGAAGTTTAAACCGGCTCCCTTGGCCAATAAAGCGAGATGAGTCCCGCAACTCCAGAGTTGGTCACGACTGGACCTAATGGACATGGGTCCCTTTACCTTTTACTTTGAGTAGGACTTAGTTGCATACAACTGGCCACCCCGTCCATTTAAAAGCGCTGCGATACCACTTCTTCGCTGAAGGGTTTTAAACAGAGGTTGGACAGACATCTGTCGGGGATTCTTGAACCGTGATGCAGCGGGTTGGACTACATGACCCCTTGGGATCCCTTCCAACTCGACAGTTCTATGATTCTACAACAGCACTCTGCCCACCTGCAGCTCCCAGCAGCTGGCACCCAGAGGCCTAATTCAGGAGAGATCCTGCACGACTACTGTTCCCAAAGATTTTTGTGTGTGTGAAGTTTAGCATTTCTTTGCCTGAGCCGCACAGAAGTTTTACTGGCTCTTTGCCACGCTCCAAATCTCTCCCTGCATTATCGGCCACTGCCCTTTCCCGTCCCTGTGTAAACTTCCCCTTCCTGCCAGTGAACTTTGCACAACAACAAAACCGCCTACAACATGCGGATCAGAGATTGCGCTCCTTCGTGTTCCCAGCCTGCTCTGGCTCTGCTTCCTTGGCTTCCTGGCGCCTCATTCCTACCTGACTTGCTACCTGCCGCTCTCTGTATCTGCCTTGATTGCCTTTCAGGAATTGAGCTATGGGAGAGCCATAGCTGAGGGGCAGAAAATCTGCTTTGCATGCAGAAGGTCCCAGGTTCAGTTTTACAGTAAGAAGGTCAGAAGGTTTTAGGTCATGTGGGTACAGCAACAGCTTTTAGTCCCTGGTATATTTCATGTGGGACGCGGGTGGCGCTGTGGGTTAAAGCCTCAGCGCCTAGGACTTGCCGATCGAAAGGTCGGCGGTTCGAATCCCCGTGGCGGGGTGCGCTCCCGTTGCTCGGTCCCAGCGCCTGCCAACCTAGCAGTTCGAAACACTGCAAGTAGATAAATAGGGACCGCTTACTAGCGGGAAGGTAAACGGCGTTCCGTGTGCTGCGCTTGGCTCGCCAGAGCAGTGATGTCACGCTGGCCACATGACCTGGTGCGTGCTTTTTTTGGTGCAGGCTGTAGCCATGGACATGCTATGTGATCTGATGGTGAATTTGGGGTGACCCAATGCAAAGATCCTGAGGATCCATGTTGATCTATGCTTTGTAACCACATTTTAAGTGGGGAGCGAAGGAAAAACAGAGAAGGGACATGAGAGGGGTGTGCAGAGAAGCAGCTGGCTAAGAATGCTGGAGAGGGATTTGGGGTGGGAGGAAAGAAAGGCAAAAGTTCCCCCCCAAGCCAGCCATCTCTCTCTCTCTCTCTCCCTCTCCCTCCCCCCCTCTCCCTCTCCCTCCCCCACTCTCTCTCCCTCTCCCCCAGCAGCATCGGAGCACAGAGAGGAATTAGAAAGAACTACACTCTGCTTGCCTGGAGGGGAGGGGCTTTCCCTGCTCTTTGTTCCGTTTCAGCAATCACAGCAACGAAACAGAGGAGGGTGGGCAGTAAGACCCTGAGGCAGAATGCAGGAAAGCTGCCACTTCCTCTTTTCAGGTTTCCCTTCTCCGTGACTCGCGGTTTGACTTTTGCTTGATTTTTTGGCTCCAGGGACCACACATTCGCTCTATAACACGCACAGACATTTCCCCTTCCTTTTTAGGAGAAAAAATCTGCGTGTTATAGAGCGAAAAATACGGTATATACACATATACATATATACATATACATATACATATATACACACACACACACAAAATCACAGCAGTTTACAACAATATAAAAAAACCATACAACCAACCCCCCCCAAAACCATAAAATCATAAAAAATTAAAATGCAAAAAGAATTTTTTAAAACAAACATCAGTAGACCGTCAGGTTGGGGAATGTACGCTTAATTGCTTGGATAGCCCTGGCAAAATAAAAATTTTCAGCAGGCATTTGGCCCAGAAGGCACTTGCTGAATCTCTTGTGGCAGGGTATTCCACAGGACCGGGAAAACAACATCTAAAGGCATTTTCTCAATGCCGTCAAATGAGTCTCACCAACTCTGGGAATGACCAGAGCCACTGGCCATTGGCCATGCTGGTTGGGGCTGGTGGCAGATGTAGTCCCCAAAGGCCATCAATTTCCTATCTCAAGTCACACCGAAGCCAGAAGTTCACACACATGCCTCTCCATTCTCCATCCAGATTAGAGTGTTGGACTGCAACCTGGGAGACCAGGGTTCGAATCCACGCCCAGCCATGAAGCTTGCTGGGTGGACGTGGCCCCAGTGTCTTAGCCTAACCTATCTCACAGGGCTGTTGTGATGATAAATTTGAGGACCACATGCACCAATCACACTAATAGGGACAGATTCCAGCCAGGCAAAAGCCCTTGAGGAGGGTGCAGAGCAGGGCCGGTGAGGGACGTGGCCCAAGGAGGGTTGTGAAGGCCATTTTGAAAGGTCTAGGGGGCTGCACCATGCCTGTTGGCCCGAGGTCCCCCACCTGCTGCTCTGAGACACCAGAAGACACTTGTTTTTGTGTCTCTACCATCACCATTTGTCCCCTAGGGAGAGAGAAAGAAAAGATTTACCTTGTGTTGCGACTCCAAAGCCTTTTTGGCATTGCTGGTATAATTTGCACCATATGCAGGTGCCTGAATGAGCCAGGTGGCAGAAGTGATGAGGAGGACACTGGCACAATCTGTCTTGCATCCGAGTGCACTCCCTTGTTTGAACAAATCCTAATTTCAGGGGGGAAATATAAGACATTAGGGGGCTGTAGAATGGCAGAAGCTCAAGTCCTTGCTGTAAGAAGCCAATACAGTGGTACCTCGGGTTACATACGCTTCAGGTTACAGACTCCGCTAACCCAGAAATAGTACCTCGGGTTAAGAACTTTGCTTCAGGATGAGAACAGAAATCATGCTCCGGCGGCACAGCAGCAGCAGGAGGCCCCATTAGCTAAAGTGGTGCTTCAGGTTAAGAACAGTTTCAGGTTAAGAACAGACCTCCAGAATGAATTAAGTACTTAACTCGAAGTACCACTGTACTCAAATGCCTGGAGACTGGAGAGGACGTGGTGGGCGAGAGGAACCGTCCTCTTGTAGGGATTACAGGATTTGACTTAATTTGGTGGGAGTCAGGAAGTGGCATTTTATGGGCTCTATGGAGGCCCTCGTATCTTTCCCTAGCTCAGTGATGGAGCCTCTGTTTTGCATGCAGAAGGTCACAGGTTCAATTCCTGGTATCTCCAAATAGGGCTGAGAGAGACCCTTGTCTGAAATCCTAGCAAGCCACTTTCAATCAGTGGAGGCAATGTTGAGATAGATGGACCACTGGGCTGACTTGGTATAAGGCAATTTGCTATACTAAATATATCCCTGCTGAAATATGAGAGGCGTCAGTGTGGTGGTTAAGAGCAGTGGACTCGTAATCTGGTGAACCGGGTTCGCTTCCCCTCTCCTCCACATGCAGCTGCTGGGTGACCTTGGGCCAGTCACACTTCTCTGAAGTCTCTCAGCCCCCCTCACCTCACAGAGTGTTTGTTGTAGGGGAGGGAGGGAAAGGAGATTGTTAGCCGCTTTAAGACTCCTTAGGGTAGTGATAAAGTGGGATATCAAATCCAAACTCTTCTTCTCATCAGCATTGGCATTCCACCGGCTCTTGAAGAGACATCTGTTCAGACAAGCATTCCCCTGAACTTTTGAATCAAATTGCTGTAACTGTTGGAATTGTTATTTTTTAAAAAACAGGATTGTTTCATTTTATACTTTCGTAGTGGGCAATATTGGGTAATATTATGTATTTTCATTATGTCCGGATATTTTAAAATTGCAGCTCCTAGAAGCTGTCAGCACGTGGCAGCAGCCACACCCTGTGAATGGCTTCGATTGGCTAGCTAAACCAGAGGAGGGTAGCTGATGGGTCTTAAACCCTCAGTGAGTTATGGATTTCCCCTGCATGTGAAGACAGGCTCTGACAGATTGAGCAGACGCAACCAATACTGGGTCCAATGGTCAAGAAGGTGGTTTCTGGACATGCTATAGAGGGACGTGAGGAGCAAATGGGGCTTATCAACCTGGGAAGGTAGCCCATCTAGCAGGAGGAAAACTCTGACCCTAAACCTCTGTTACCTTGAAGGATATCTTCGTAAGAAGTAAAGGCTAAGGAGTAAACCCAGAGTAGAGTCCCTAAGATGGTTGGATGGTGCCAAAAGTATTGCTCTGCTTTCCTTTGGACCACATCGGTGAAGCTGAGACAGGGTTCTTGTCATTTGGGCAGCCCAGGACCTCCATACACACTGCCCAGGCTTGTCTTCTGGGGAGGTCACATCGGTGCTGCTAACACAGCAGTTTGACTTCACCCCCAGAGGCACACTCCAGTCCAGTTGAAATTGGAAGGCGGAATAGGTTTATCTTTAGTTAACAAGGCCCCAGAAGAGCTGGTGTTTGCGAGCTTCACCGGCATTAACGTCCATTTCACACAGCTGTCAACGGGTCAAGTGCTCGAACTGAGTATACAGGATATACAGGTAACTGGATGGGTCCACTCTCAGACAAGAACAAAAAGAAAGAAGACTTTGGAGTGAAATTCGTCCCGGAAGTATATAAGCTAGATGCGAATATGACATGCAAGGAAAAATAAACAGGAGGGAGGAGGTTACAGCTGATTGCCAGGGGTGGCTCTGGTTGTCTGTGGTTAAGAGCGGTAGTCTCGTAATCTGGGGAACCAGGTTCGCGTCTCCGCTCCTCCACATGCAGCTGCTGGGTGACCTTGGGCCAGTCACACTTCTTTGAAGTCTCTCAGCCCCACTCACCTCACAGAGTGTTTGTTGTGGGGGAGGAAGGGAAAGGAGAATGTTAGCCGCTTTGAGACTCCTTAAAGGGAGTGAAAGGCGGGATATCAAATCCAAACTCTTCTTCTTCTTCTTCTTCTCTTCTTCTTGTCTCTTGAGGCAGACAGATGTCAACAACAATCCACTTAGAAGTCGATTTGCATGTAAGTGGTATATGAATTCAATAATAGCAATAATCGTTCAATTGAGGATCATGAGGACTGGAATCTTACTTGATATTTAAGTGAAGGGACCGTAGTTCAGCAATAGAGCACATGCTTTGTGTGCAAAAGGACGCAGGTTCAACCCACAGCCTCTCCAGTTTGGGCTGGGAATATCCCCTGCCTGAAACCCTGAGCTGCTGGTGCCACTCAGTATAGAGAATTCTGAGCTAGAAGGACCATTAGTCTGACTCTTAATAAGGTAGCTTCCTATTTGTCCAATCAGAGAAATGGCTTTTATGGTATGAAAAGTTACAGGACTTCAAGCAGGAAGTTACAGGACATGTGCCAATTGGAAATCAAGCAGTATGTCTGATCTAAAACTTGTGCGGGTACAAACAGTATTGAAAGCGGGTTTGCGTCTAACTGCCCCAATACCATCACGGGCGCAAATCACCGCAAATGCATGATAAAAATGGTGTCTGGAAGGGGGACCATAAGCATAAGGGACTTGTGTTGCATTATCACCTTCCACCTCCAGGGCCCTCAGATTCAGGCTAGCAAGCTCCAGTGAGCTCAACATACCTGTTTTGCATGATGGCGAACAGCTGAAACAGAGTCCAGCTGCGCTCCAGACATCTGTATATTTCCCCTCATCACACGCTCCACACTTCGTGTCAGCGTTCTCAGTGCACTTTTCAAGCACGCGGGAACCTGCAATGCAAACAAGGAAAATATATTTTTCAGAGGATGAGGCTAGCAACGGAAATGGTTTTAATTCCACTGTAAGAGGAATCAAAAAGTGGGCCTCCAAATATCACCTGGCATAGTCCTTTGTCAAGATTCTCCTACAACATTCCAGTAAAGCCCTCCTGTACCTTTGATTAGTAGATTCTTTCTTGAGGCTTCAGGTGCTGCAATCAGTTCCGTTTGCTCAAAGGCATTTCTTAATTCTTATAGGAATAGTCAGTTCCTATTACATGGGAGGGGGGTTGGTAATTAATTTCTTATTAACAACCCAAACAACAATTCATTTTTGAATTTTGAATTTTTATGCTTGCAGTTTTGTAATGTTACAGTTGCACTTTTTAGAGCAACAGTTCTGGAAACTAATAAATTGACCTCACTGCCCCACTCCCCAGCAGAAAACAGGCATGGTTTTATTGAGATGCAATTGAGGACCAGTTCAGCAGTGCCATGTGATGAACATCAAACCAGGAGGAAGCTTCTAACAAAAGGTACGCCCCCCAGAAAAGCCCTATAGGTGCTTTGCCAGGCTGCACTGGGCTAGCAATGCAATTGCATGCAAAGTCTGAAAAATCACCATGGACCAAGTCTTTATATGATGGAGGGCAACACAGAAGATATGGAGATACAGCAATGTGTTCTGCAGCAGAGCATCAGCTTTGCATGCAGAAGGTCCCAAATTCAATCTGTGGCACTTCCAGTTATAAGGACCTCTGCCTGGTCATTCTGTTTGGTTATGTCAAAGGTCTGGTCCTAGCAATTAGAGGGAAATGGCTAGATATTTATTAGCCGTTGCTCATGTAACAATCTGCTATAACTGAAAATAGATAAAGACTCTTGGCTGTAGTGGACAGTGTAGCCGACTAAGTTCTACTCAGAGTACAGCCACAGAAATTAATGCTGCTAAGTTAGCCATGCCCAGTAATTACAATGCACCTACTCTGAGCAGGATTAACACTGAATGCAACCCTGAGTAATTAAAACTCCAGAAATGCAACAGACTCAACAAGAATGCATTCTAAACAATATATCCCAGATATAGTAAAGGTAAAGGGACCCCTGACCATTAGGTCCAGTCGTGACCGACTCTGGGTTTGCGGCGCCCCTCTCGCTTTATTGGCTCAGGGAGCCGGCATATAGCTTCCGGGTCATGTGGCCAGCATGACTAAGCTGCTTGTGGCGAACCAGAGCAGCACACGGAAAAGCTGTTCACCTTCCCGCCAGAGCGGTACCTATTTATCTCCTTGCACTTTGATGTGCTTTTGAACTGCTAGGTTGGCAGGAGCAGGGACCGAGCAATGGGAGCTCACCCCGTTGTGGGGATTCGAACCGCCGACCTTCTGATCAGCAAGTTCTAGGCTCTGTGGTTTAACCCACAGCGCCACCCGTGTCCCTTTATATCCCAGATATAGATGTGCAATATAACTGGAAATATACTCTTGGTAGTCTTATAATTTTCTCCTCATTACTAAGGTAAGTAAAGGTACCCCTGCCCGTATGGGCCAGTCTTGACAGACTCTGGGGTTGTGCGCCCATCTCACTTAAGAGGCCAGGGGCCAGCGCTGTCCGGAGACACTTCCGGGTCACGTGGCCAGCGTGACAAAGCTGCATCTGGCGAGCCAGCGCAGCACATGGAAACGCCGTTTACCTTCCCGCCAGTAAGCGGTCCCTATTTATCTACTTGCACCTGGGGGTGCTTTTGAACTGCTAGGTTGGCAGGCGCTGGGACCGAGCAACGGGACCTCATTACTACTATTGGCTTATTTTGCTGCTATTATATTTTGATGGTTGTTGTACCTATATGGATTAAAACGGTAAATAATTTGAATCTGCCTAGAACCCCGAGGAGCTGTTGACAGTCAGCATGGAGACCCTAAAAGGGCTGGATCTGTTTGGAGCATTTGCTAGATCACGCTTCTTCTGCTGCTGCTGCCCCTTCTATTTCTGTTCATTTTAATGGGGGTTAAGGATAAGAGGGCTAGAGCCACTTTTAATGTTTATGCAGCATTGTTTTAACACAGCGAAAGCCACTTTGCAAGCTTTTCTTAAAATAAAATAAAAATTACTAAGAAGGCTGAATAAACTCAGTTTTAAATGAATGTACCCCTCCCCCAGGGTACAGGCAAGTCAGTTGATTCAGGATTCACTTGAAAACATTACATCAGTGGATTGGAATTAGAAGCCGTGCTTGCCAGAATCCAAAAAGACTGCAACACACTGTGAAAAACGCCACTGTTTTTAAGCTCTGTATCAGGCCTGGCTCCACCACTAGGGAGAGTGAGACATTGGCTTTGGGCAGCTGATACTAGGGGCTGCGGCACCCTTACTTCTAAGACAGCCTGCCCTGTAGCCCCTAAAATAATCTGTTGCATTGTAGAAAATGGCACTGTCACCAGCACTGAAACAAATATTAGCTGCTATTTGGTTGAATTCTCTATATGAAATCGATGAGGAGGGTGGGTCTTTCACGGGCTGCAAGGTTTTCTTGGGCTGTCTCTGCTATGTAGCTAAGTGACTGAAAACTACACTTTCCTGATGGGAATTGTAGTCCAGAACTTATGGAGATCCACTGGGATGAATGAGGCTGGCACAGACAGTACTGCCTGTAACATGGATCAAGACTGCAGCTCAGAATAGGGCAAGCTTCTTATGTTCTGTAGATCAGTATGCATTTAATAGATGCCTTTAGCGATCAGCGGAGCATATTTTTTCAATATGCGTTGGCTCGCAGACTTTGCCATACATGCATTTATAAAAATCACACTTCCTTTTGTTTGTTTTTTGTTTTTCTGGGTTAAGGGAACGGTCATATGGCAAAAGCTCACTGTAAACAGGAGGCTTTGCCCTTTAACTTCTCTTTTGAGTTCTCCTTTGAGAGCTTTCTGGAAGACACACTTCTGGTCACTGACTTCCCTGCAACACAGGAAACCCAGCTAATTTGCTTGACATTCACCACTTTGCGAAGCTCTCTCTCTCTTCCCCTGCGTGCTGGTTTCCTGTTTGTTCAGTAAATTTTGGCAACTGGGGGAGGGAGGGTAAAGACTTGCTTCTGTCGTAGAGTGCACATGGCCCGGAGTTTTGAAAAACTGGGGTGGCAGGGGATAGAAGAGCTGAATGGAAGTTAAGGACCCCTGGTGTTAGGGACTGGGCAGAGGAGGAGGAATGGTGGAGACCGCCTCCCCAGCCGGACCCTTCCAGAGAAGAAGAAGACAGCTCAGAATTACAAAAGGGGTTTTAGGGAGGTCACAGCTCAGAGGAAGATGAGGGGGAAAGTTGGGAAATAATGGGAGAGGAGGAGGAGAAGGAGACAGAGCAGGAGCAGCTGGCTGACATGTTATCACTAGAAAGCATTCCAGACCCACCATCTCCCATAACCTGGCAAGCCTTAAAAGTAGGAGAGCAAAGAACTTGGAGACAGATGGCCCTAAGTGGCAACCGTAAAGGGTGTGTGTGTGTGTGTGTGTGTGTGTGTGTGCTGTTGATGAATAAGAAAGTGGAAGAATAGGCACAAAAGAACAGTGACAAGGGAAACTGATGGACTATGCAGAACTGGCGAAACTGACATACAAACTGCGAGACGAGGACAACTGTGGCTTTAAAGAAGAATGGGAACTTTTTACAAATTACTTAAAAAACAACAACAAAATGAATGGGACTCCTTGGCAGGTTTTGAATAAACATATGCAAATGTATTATTGTTAACATAATAGATAGATTATTTAAGGCTTTTTACAATTTTATACTATGCAGAGAATAATATGTGTTGAAAAACCGGAGAGAGAAGCAGAGAGAAGTCTGGGGGTGGGAAGGAGGGTTTTTTGGGGGGAGGGGGGGAATGAAGATGATATGTTTTTGATAATTTGTTATGTTGAAATTCTTAATAAAAACTATTTTTAAAAAAAGGAAGTGGAAGAAAAGGGGGTTGGAGATTTACTAGGTACAACACCACTATTTGAAGAGCCTGCATTCTCAAGCCTCTCTCTGTAAATATTGAATAGAAAGAAGGTGGTAAGGACTTTTCCTTGTCTTATTCAATCTGCCGTGGGGGCTGTTGCCTGACACCTGGGGTTTCTTCATATTATACAGGGAGAGGGCCAGTGGTAGCTGGTGCCCACTGGGACAGACGGCAGGGACATCAACAACTGCTGGAGCCAGAGGCAATGATGTGCAGAGACAACGAACTGCACCTTTGCCTGCCTCCCACTCCTCTTCCTCCTTCCTGCAAGGGCAACACTGAGACTATGGAGGAGGAAGCCGACAGACAGAGCCACTTCCTAGACTGGCTGTAAGAAAGAAAAGCAGTTGGGCTCAGAGGAGATTGAGGCTGAGCTTGATGGGGCTCCATTTGCCCTAGTGGACAAACTCCACCAACACACCCATTTCCTATTCAGATGCCCATGAGCTGGATGAATGCATCAGCTTAACGTTTAGGACTGACCGCAAACACATTACCTGGAGGGCACAAGCTGCAACATTTACGGATGGCTTCGTCATATCGCTCCGTGCTTGAATTGTGGCACTGGTTCTGATTCTGGGGGGTGTACGGTAGTGAGGACACCTGCAGAGATCAAGAGAGAAAATAGGTCTTGAGTGGAGAGAAAGCTTGAGTTTGGCCATCACTACCCTGAGATCCGTGGGACACCGGTGGCGCTGTGGATTAAACCACAGAGCCTAGGACTTGCCGATCAGAAGGTCGGTGGTTCGAATCCCCGTGACCACCGAATCCCCGCGACGGGGTGAGCTCCCATTGCTCGGTCCCTGCTCCTGTCCTGCCAACCTAGCAGTTCGAAAGCACGTCAAAGTGCAAGTAGATAAATAGGTACCGCTCCAGCGGGAAGGTAAACAGTGTTTCCGTGCACTGCTCTGGTTCACCAGAAGTGGCTTAGTCATGCTGGCCACATGACCCGGAAGTTGTACGCCGGCTCCCTCGGCCAGTAATCGAGATGAGCGCCACAACCCCAGAGTTGGTCACGACTGGACCTAATGGTCAGGGGTCCCTTTACCTTTACCCTGAGCTCCTCAGGAAAGGGTGAGGCACTGATTAGGGGCAAAGGAGCAAGACATAGCAAATCCAGTCCTAGTTTACCCTTGGGCAGAACTAATGTGTGATCCGAGCAGACCAAGGTATAACTAGTATTTCAGCCACAGTGGTGTCATGGTGAATCTTGAAGCGCAGGAGTTCATCATGACAGCGTCCAGAGCCCAGGCAACTGGTTCCAACAACCTTTAAGCCAGAATTTCTCAAACCTGGGTCTCTAGCTGTTTTGGGACTACAACTCCCATCATCCCCAGTTAGCAGGACCAGTGGTCAGCGATGATGGTGATACGGAATGGGGGGGCATGTCTTCACCTTCTTCGCTACAATATATCTATTTATTTCCATCTGCCAAGCCCTTCCTCCGGGCGATGCCAGGTGACAGACTATGCAAACATGGACCATTGTCTTCTCAGGATGTGCTTATCTGCGCATATCTCCAGCTCTGCATATTCCCCCCTCCCTCCTCCATATGTTAATCCAGTGTAACCCAACCTCTCCTTAATGTATTCATGATGCAATCTGTGTAACCCAACCTTTCCTTAATGTATTCATGATGTAACTGGGATGTATTTTGCACTGTATTCTGGGACATGGAGGGAGTTTCAAAAGTTCATGTCACCCCTTTTTCGCTGTTCAATCTCGCCTTGAACCTGTTGCGCAATAAACTTGGATCTTCTGCAGTTTGCTCCTGCGTCCGGCTGAGCTCATTTTCTTCCGCAGGGACCCACGGACTTAGTCCGATGAGCTGGGTGGCAGAGTAACCCCGCACCCAGATTTTCCGTAACAGTTGGCGCCGCAACGTGGGGCTTGCGGTTCTCCCGAGCTGCTGACTGGGGGCCCCGAAATCTTCAGCCGGCTCCAGACCATTTTGCCTGGGAAGATCCTTTTGGACCCCCAGCCATCTTCTGGGCGGTAATCGAAAGCCCTAGGAGTTCAGCCGGGGAGCAAAAGAGGGATCCAGCCGGCTTATTCATCGATCCCGGGATCAACGTTGAAGACGCGTGAGTATAGGAAAAGAAATCCAGTGCACTGGTGGGAAGGGGGTGGAATCTCCTGGCAACTGAATTCTCTGCCCTCCTCTCTATCGCTCCTTCTTGCCTTTCTCTTGGTCCGGTTAGTGAGAGAGACTGTGGACCGCTGCTCAACCCGAAAGGGGGGTTCTGAGCTCTATCTCTTTTCCTTAAAATCTCCAGCCAGCCGCACCAATTGGGAGCCCGAAAGTAAGACGGAGAGACCCGACTTGAAAGATAGCCGACTCTCCGCAACGGGCATCCCAGTTGAAAGCAAGGGGTTGGAGCTCTCTTTCCGAACTTCCCGAGCGTCCTTGCTAGGGGGCAGGAAGTGGTCTTGCTTTCTATCCCAATCCCAGCCGCACTGGTCGGTGCCACGTAACACGTGTATCGTGCGTGAGCCCGCTTCCAAAAGCAAGGGGGATTTTCAGTTCGAAATTCTATCCAGGGACCACCCGATCTGGCACCGCATGGTGCGGGCGTCCAGTAGGGCCCCTTTTCCTGAGATGTGACGATAGGTAGGAGGTTGCCAGGAGGGATAGCCCATGAGGAATTGGGCAGGACCGGCAGAGTGGAAAGAGACCCCAGGTTATAGGAAATAAGGAAATAGGAAATAAGGAAATAGGAAAGGGAACGCAAGGAACCGGATAGCTAGAGCTCTCTAAAACCCACTAAGGAAGTTGCCAGGCAACTAGAAGCCCCTTCTCTTCTTTACTATACGTCCCTGTACTAAGCATACCAAACCCCTAGACATACCAATCCTTACAGACCCCTTTCTTTCCCCCTTTTCTGTCTAGACACGTGTGAATCATAAAGGGGTACCCAGTCAACCAAGCGTTGTGAGCCCTGCCAGTTTGATTAATTGGTGGTGTGTTTGAAGAGGCAAGGAGGCTCATAAAACCATGTGGGACCTTCCTACTAATTTCACTTAATGAAGCCAAAGGTAGTGGCCCAACTCCTTGCAATAACCAACTAAAGGATGAGAATATATATGTTTACATGTCGTCTGTTATGTGTGTTGTCTGTTAATACATATATGAGAATATGTATGTTTACATGTTGTCTGTTATGTGTGTTGTCTGTTCCTTCTGTCTCTGGCAGACTGCCTTTCTTAAGTGTGCATAGTTTAAACTGCAAGCTTGCTTCAAAATTTAAATCTAAGGAAGCCATGCTGGATCTTAGCAGTCCTAAATAAGACAAAAATTGAGAATGAAGTGTGCAAATGTTTACCCCACCTCTTGCTTTGCCCCAACTTTTGAGATTGTGAGTCTACAGTCTTATTTTGGAAGGTGCTGATAACCTAATGTTTCTGCTGCAAAAGACTAGTTGAGCCAACTGCTCTCTCAAGCTAAAATGCAGTGTATGTACTTCATTAAGCATATGCCTATAAAAGTATGGTGTTCATTCTAAGAAAAAATATTTGAGTCCAGCTTTAACTTTGATTTGGTTGGACAGAAGAGTTATTGTAAGGCTCCTGATATCAGTCTCTATAAGACTTCATGGCCTCTTTTGTTAGAAAATGCCCCCCCTCCCCCTTGTTTCACCCTGCCTCTTTCAGTTGTTTTCTCCCTTCTTCTGTGCCAGGTAAATTTACTCCCGAGTAAGCTTCCTTTAAAGGAAACTGCAAAGAGGGGAGGGGGGCAACACTTGTGTATTCCCTTAAAAAAAATCAAATCTAGGGCTGCTTTAACTGTGCTTTATAAGAGATCCTCTCCCTATCTTACGAAAACTGTTCACTTCAATCTTCCTTAAATATCATTTCAAACTCACTCAAACTATCTCAAGATCTGCAAAAGGGTTCTGTGTAAAGTTATGTACTTTTATTTTCCTCTTCCTTAGTACATGATAGGAGCATAGATGTTTCCTTTCCCAGCTGTAAATCTGTACTTAAATGTGTATGCCTCTTTGGTAGTACAAATCTTGCTGCGAAATCTTGCTGTGAACCCTATATTTTGGAGGGTTGGACTAGATGACCCCAGGGTCCCCTTTCAACTCTCCCGATTTGTGGCTGTGTGGAAGGACATGTGTCTGCAAGCATTGGAGGGTACTTCTTAAATTCTGGTGACGTGATGGAGTTGAAATTCAACCTAGCTTTGCTCTTTAGTTTTAAAAGGTGAGAGGTGAAGCCCAACTGGTAATATCAAGCATTTAAGTGATTACAGTGTTTATCATTTTGTCTATTATTTAAAAAAATCAAACTTAAAAGTCTATTAAAAGTTTAAGCACATAAAAATTCATATAATCAAGTAGAATTAGCCTTGACCATCCATCCTGTAAATAAAGGGCAGTAAAATTTGTCTGCAAATGGTAAGGCTGAGAATGTTAAAAAAAAAAATCCTATGAATTCTAACTCTCTGGCCATTTTTACTCATAAATAAGAGAGCGGTTGATTGTTCCGCGAATGACCAGATAAAATGACCAATAATGATAGCCCTTTCCTGTACATAAAGGAAGCACTCCTGTTGCTTGGGCTGAAATTGCTAGCTTTGGTGAATACTTAAATTGCTGATTTTCTCTTTTTTGTTGTTTTAAAATCTAACCCTATTTTTAAAATCTACTCCTTACCTTTCCCTTCCTTATTCTAATTTTGCCAAAAGATGCAACATTTCAATAGTATAAAAGGTTTGCTGAGACATGAACTCCACACATGCACAGAGACTAGATCAGCAAAAAAAAAAAAAAAGGATAGGAAAAGAAATGAGAGAGAGAGAGAGAGAGGAAGGAAGGGGAACTGTGGGGGGGGGAGGAGGTTTTTTTTTATGTAAAACTTGGAACCATTGAGAGAAATCACCCTTAATGTGTCCCAAGTTTGAAATCTTAACATGCCAAATTCTTTTCACAGGTAAATATCAAAGAATTCCACCCCTCAATGGGATTAAAATCACAGACTTTGTTTGTCTGCATTTTAGGAACAGCATTTCCTGACAGGCTTCTCACATGAAATAATTTTCCCTTTTAACAGGATATGTGAACCCCGATAACAAAGTGTTTGTCCCTTTTTTTCCCCTCCCACAGCGACTTTCTTTCTATTCCGTGAAACAAGCCTGAATCTCTTTGTGGCTTTGACACTTTTAAAATTACAAATAATCTGTTTTCCATTTATTTAATCCGTTTTTCCATGATGTCTATGAAGTTAATCGAAGCACAACCAAACATTGTTTGTGGAATGGTATTTGTTTACCTTTTGCCTGAGCGTTTCTTATTAATTCTATCATTTTGGCTAGTGCAAGGTACTTGCACAATTTTAAATTAAATTTCCCCCCATTGTTTTCCCAATTTTTTCAGTCCAGTAGTAATCCGTGTGGTTTTGATAATATCTTTGTATTATTTAATAATAATTCTTTTCTAAGTCTGATGTCTTTGTGTCAAGTCTGGTTTCATCTGACTGGTAATCTAATTTTTTTTTCCTTCCCTTTTTTTTTTTTTTACCTTTGTATTTTTACAGTTCTCTTTCTAGACTAACCGTGTTTTAAGTCCCCAAAACCCTGCCCCCTTACAGGATATCACTTA